TATATTATGTTTGATCAAAATTTAACTTTATTACATTTATGCACAATACATAACATTTTTGTACGTTTATAAATGTTAGAATATACGTATAAATATCAAATTCGATTAAAAATATATTTAATCATTTCAAGAATCTAGTACAAGTTATTCAAGAATATATTTAAATTCGATCAAAATCTAGATAATATATAATCCTTGTTTAAAATATATTCTTTATTTTCTTTTTAAATATTTTTNTTNNTATTGACACATGTCACAATCTAAATTAACAATTACACATGTCACGATCTAGTGTTTAAGAATTTTGCCTACGTGTCATGCTCTCATCGCGCGGATTCTCATTTACATAACAAGATTCGATCAAAATCTAGTACAAGTTATTCAAGAATTATCTAACTAAATTTCTGGTAAATATGATGTCTAATTAAATACTCCATTTGTGTATTTTTGAGTTTTTTTATATATTTATTTCTTGGTGAAAAGGAATAATACTTTCTGCCGGCCTTTTGTGTGTTCTGTAAATCGGCGACATTTTGAGTAAGTAAAAAAGCATATGTTATAAATAAGGCAATTCATTTTGACAGCTTTTCATGTCCATTATTATCCAATCATTCAATTATTGATCTTAGGTTATATCGCAATAACTCTCTATTGTACTCAAAATTCCGAATATGGGCCATCTAAATTAAGTCACTCACCGTTTACCTCAGCCCATCTCCACCTTTTACTTCTTCTTTTTTTGCATGATGTAAATTTCATTAAAATGTAATGTTTTAAGTAGCTAATTACAGTTAGGACCATATAGTGGTTCTGGTCCGTAGTATGAGACAAGGGTAAGACCGTAGTTTAACAACGGAGTGGACTTTTTATAAAGATGTTTAAGAGAAAAAAAAGGTGAGAGTGAAGAGTCAACGAAACTATTCTTGGCTTGTTTTATATATGTGTAAGGCTTTCGACCACTCCACATCTTCTTCTTTCTCAGTCTGAACAAATCTGAAACCA